ACGCTAGGTGGTTAAGTATCTACTGAAGGATACTAGATGTCTTACACCTACTGATGGGTGTTGGTAAGAAAGATTTGCACTTACTAAAGGGTGCTAACGGATTTTGGGTCAGGGTCGTGACGTTAAACAAGCGCTACTTAGGAGGAAACCGAGTTGATTTACTTTATCTTTCTTTCTTTGCTTTTGATTCTGCTTTAGATACATTATAGGGAGTGAATGTTTGAGTGATGTGAGAACCTAAATGCATGAAGTGAGTGAGAGGCATGAGTATAAGACACCTAGGGCAAGTTAGGAAGAAGGAGAGTAGGTGCCGCGAATGCCACTCAAAGGTAATTAACGCTGAGCGCGAACACTGCAGAGTTGGGTGGACTGGTTTGGCTCATTTAGGCACAGCGGGATTAGGCCCATTAGGGTATTTTTATACCCTAGGGTGCGGCTTTGCTTCTATTTTCAGATCTCCCTCTTCCCCACACTCTCAAGCACTCTCCCAAGAGTTCTCTCCACTTTTCTCTTCTTCCCCCTTCAAAAATCCTCTCTTCCACTCACTTTTGCAGTAAGTTTCCATTCAAGTTTGGGGTTTGGTGAGAGCATTGTTGTTAGGGGCTGATTTCTTCATATCCCTAGAGCATTCTAAGATAAGGAGTGTTTTAAGGAGTTGTTTGTGGTTTATTAATGCTTAATGTGTCTTGTGGTTTCGTGAATTGTGTTTGATGCAGGGATGGCCTCCTCATCAGGCAAAAGAATCAAGACTATAGGATCCAAGAAGAAGGAGAGGAGGAAGATTCGGTTGATAGCAGGGGTTGATGAGGAGCTGAGATAGCATCTACTGATGGATGCTATCACCTCTAGAGCAGGATTTTTTTTATTTTTTGTTTTGTACTGTTGAACTTATTTGCTTATGTTATTAGAATAGGTTTGATGTACTCAATATGAAACTTTATCTACTATGATGGTTTGCTTGTGATTTATGCATGATAAGTATTGCTTGATGATGCTTGGATATTGATTGTTGAGATTGTGCACTATATGCTGCTATATAGGTGGTTGTTCACGAGCTATGTGAACAAATGCATGATGTTGTGATTGTGATTATGATGCTAAGCAGGATGTGTATGTGGAATGTTCAATGAGCCTATATGTGAGGTTTTGAACTCCAGAGTTTTTGTGAATGAATGTTATTACTTTGAAAGCATGAATGACTTTGCCCAGGTTTCTATGACTGAATCACTTGCTTGTTGTATGTATCATATTATCAAGGCCAGTTGTGGTTACCCTTTATTAGCCAAATGCATGATTTTAGCCCAATAAAAGAAAGCACAATGTGTTCTATCCTTTGAACCCTTAGCTTTGAACATGATAGAAAAACATTTTTGAAAAGCTTTACCTTGAGTTGAGTTGAAGATATATTGTGGTATTGATAAATGTTCAAGTTTGGGGTTGTTGGGAAGTTTAAAAAAGGGAATATGAAAAGCATTGAGCTAAGCATATGAAAAGAAAAATAAAAAGGAAAGAAAGGAAAGAAAAAGAAAGGCTCAATGCAAAATAAAGTTGGGAAGAAGGAAGAATGGTTGTGTGTAGATGATTCACTTAACTCAAGGAATTTGTGATCCAGAAAAACCAACTTTCTTGTTAGCCCAACCACATTATAAGCCATAGAAATGTCCTTGTGATGATACTTGCTTGTGAATGTGCTTGATTGTGGTTACATGAAAGGCAAAGTTGATTCATGTGACATTGTGATAGTAGAGTGAATGAGTGACCTCTTATACACTTGTGTGTTTGAGTGAAACACTTTATCTGGTAAGGAAAAATTCCATGAGCACATGATTACATCTATGCTTAGTTAATTGATCATTCATAAGAATAACATTTGTTGGATAATATGTAATTATGTGAACACCAAAGCATGTCTGCATCTTCACTGAATTCTTTTTGATGAGCGGATTTGAGTAATTCCTTGCTTGAAAGAAAGAGTTTTTGAATGCAGTGAACCATTGTATGGATTGATGGAAGATTGAGTTACATCTTGTTTGCTTGAGGACAAGCAAAGTTCTAAGTTTGGGGTTGTGATAATAGTTGAAAAACTGTTATTTTTATACTTAATTTTGATCTTAATGACAACCTTTATGACTTAGAAACTAGCTTGGAATCATGTTTTTGTTTAAGTTTTGGAAATAAGAGAGTTGGATAGGTTTTATGCTTGGTTTACTTGCTTTTTCATATTTTAAGATGAATTGAATGAAAGAAGTGAAGTAGTTAGGAGTTGGATTCAGAAAAGGAAGAAAAAGTGCACAAAAGAAGAGCCGCAAGTACCGCTCAGTGCCACTTTTACCGCTGAGCGGCACTTTGAAGACCCGCAATCACCGCTGAGGGGAAAAACTGCAGTTGAGCGTCAAATAAAAGAACCGCACTTACCACTAAGCAATAATTACCGCTGAGCGCCATTTTAATGGGCCTTTGGCCATTTTTCTGTAATCTTTAGGAGTCTATATAAGGTTTTAGTCGACCTAAGGTTAGTATCTTCGGACAGAGCGAAGCAAAATCACACTTTCTTTGCCCCTTGGAGGAGGATTTTGGATGCTCAAGCTCCACTCTTCAAATTCTAGGGTTCTATCTTTCATTCTTTCATTATTTTTCATCTAGTTTCACCATGCTTATGTGAACTAAACCTTCATTATTTTTGGGGAATCAATGTAATCCTTTGAAACTCTCATGTATTGAATTGGTTCTTTAATCCATATGCTTTCTTTCATTAATTGTTAAGGTTTTTCTTTTATACTCTATGCATGCTTTGTTTAACTCATTCAATTGCATGATCATTGCTTTTATTTGTATGGACACATATAGATAAATCTAGACATGAAGAAATTCTCCCAATAGTAATATTGCCTTGACATAGGGATAGGAGGATTGATTGCCTTTAAGCTTCTATGAGAATGTAATGCATGAATAATTGCTAGGGAGACAAGACATTGTAAACTAGTGATTAGGAGTAGGCTTTCTTCACCAAGACATTGGGTTTAAGGTAAATTAGAAAGTGGCATTAACATTAATGAAGAAGATGAATACTTGAATACATGAGAGTGGATAGGATGAAAAAGCATTGCACATGATATCTAGGCCCTATTGGTCCAATTTCCAGGAAATTATGGTAGAGGTTGAGAAGGATCCAACTCTAAAGAAAGTAATGGAAGATATAAGGGCAGATCCGAATTCACATCCGGCGAATACCCTGGAACATGGGAGATTACATTACAAGGGGCGATTGGTTTTGTCAGCACAATCTTCCTGGATACCAAAATTATTAACAGAGTTCCATAACACAGTCACAGGAGGGCATTCAGGAGTCTATAGAACATATAGAAGGGTGGCACAATCCCTGTATTGGACAGGAATGAAGAAGACAATCACCGACTATGTGGCTGGCTGCCTAGTATGCCAACAGCATAAGTACTTGGCATCCTCACCCAAAGGTCTCTTGCAACCTTTACCCATTCCTAAAGCAGTATGGGAGGACATCAGTATGGATTTTGTGGTAAAATTACCTAAATCGCAAGAATTTGACACTATACTTGTGGTGGTGGACAGACTCAGCAAATATGGGCATATTATTCCCATTAAGCATACGTATACAGCAAGGTCTATAGCTACAGTGTTTATGAAAGAGGTGATTAGATTACATGGTATACCTATGACCATTGTTAGTGACAGGGACTCAACATTTTTTAGCATCTTTTGGCAGGAGATATTTAAATTGCAAGGCACACAGCTTAAGATGAGTACTGCCTACCATCCAGAGACAGATGGACAAACGGAAGTATTAAACAGGGTACTCGAAACATACTTACGTTGTTTTAGCTCAGAACAACCTAAAAGTTAGAGTTTGGTGTTACCTTGGACAGAATATTGGTACAATACCAGTTATCAAGGGGCATCTAAGTGCGCACCCTTTGAAACTGTTTATGGCAGACTTCCCCCCACACTCACACGATTCATCCCTAGGGAAACAATGGTAGAAGCGGTAGCCCAAGACTTGTAGACACGAGATGAGGCTTTACAGCAACTGAAATATCATCTGGCCAGGGCCCAAGCCCAAATGAAACACTTTGCCAATAAGAAGAGGGTGGAGGCCAAAATCAAGGTAGGGGATTGGGTATTTTTAAAAATCAGACCTCATAGGCAAACATCTATGCCAACAAGACTCCATCCGAAGCTGTCTACACGATATTATGGTCCTTTCCACGTGGAGCAGCAAATAGGCCCAGTCACCTTTCAGCTACAACTACCAGAAACAACAAAAATACATCCTATTTTCCATGTGTCCCAATTGAAGTTAGCTATTGGAACACATTCAGTTGAAGGCACCCTCCCAACTAAATTGCAGGATGACAACCCACGATATACCCTAGTGAAGGTGTTACAGCGAAGGAACCAGCAAAATCAAGAGAAGAAGATACCCCAAGTCCTCATACAGTGACAGGAGAATGATATTGAAGGTGCTACTTGGGAGGAGCAGTATATCAAACAACAGTTTCCTAACTTCAACCTTGAGAACAAGGTTGATACTGAGGGGAAGGGTAATGTTAGGCAATTAAAGGTTTACGTGAGAAGAGGTAAAAAAGGGATGAAATAAGTAGTGGGAGATGGTGGTTAGTTGGTTAGAAGAGAGAGGGAATATAAATAACAAAAAGATTAAGAAGAAAGGGTATCGAATATTATTTTGGAATTGAGACTGAACCTCTTGACCAGTGGAGGAAGGGAGACTTCCTTAGGGGAAAGATAGACACCTATATTCATCTTTTCTACACATTATAGAGGAAATAGAAATACAGATACACGCATATTTCTTTATACTGTTGATTGTGTGTGTGTATTTTTGCTACTGTTCAGTTCCTTGCATAAAGGAACCTAGCAACCCCACTCACTGTTCATGTTTTAAACAAAAGTATTCAAAGAATCTAAAAATGCATGCGTTCCTCCATAGGTTCTTATACAGTATATCCCTGCAGGTATGTATTTGACATTTTATAATAAGCCCAAATAACAATACTTTCGGCTGCACTGTATACTCTTTTCTAAATAATACCAAATCCATTATAGAAAGGTCGGCTCCATTTTTATAACAACGCTACATTGGAAGGTGCACCAAAAAAATTGCACCCTGGCAAGAATTGAAAAAAAAAAATTGATTTACAAGGAAATTACAGTAGAGACAAAATCCACTAGATCAAGTTGTCTATAAAAGCTGAAGACTGGATAATCCTCAAGAGCTCCCTCAAATTAGCAAGTACATGGCGTGGTCCCAAGCTCTTTGCATCAGTGAAATTCAAAAGCTGTTCTAAATCCTACAATCACTAAAAGTTCGTTCAGACAACCACACTTCAAGAGAAATTTAACAAGATAAAAGAAGAAAAGAAAGGCAGTAACTAAAGTATACGAGACTTTAAATACATTCAACGTATTTAAGATATAACACAGATGCAAACCTACCTGCCAACACCCAGGATCCTGCAGTTAAAATCAAATGGTGTAGAATGCCGTAAAGCACATTTTGTGCTATTTTTCAGACCTTGTAAAGTATTTTTTTTTTTTTGGTTTGAGGAAGTCCAAGGAAAAGCATCATAAGTAAGCATAACTCAAACAAAACTCTTAATCTTACATGCCATGAAATGAACATAAGCATTTTGACTCTTCTAAAGTGAATACGAATAAAGTAATTTCAGTCATTCAAAAAAATAAGAGGCTGATGTTCCAACACAGTCAGGATTGGTAGTGAAAGTGTACGTAATATTGACAGTAGATATTCTTACCTATAGCTTAGATTTGCAACCTTTTTGTAATATACTCAATGTAACAGTAATATGACACAGAGCAAGGCACCAAAAATTGGGAATTAGAAGTGTATATTCCAGAATTTATTTTCTTTCCCTGTGAGTTCGAATGGTATCACAGAGAATTAACAAAAAGTTGCAATACCAAAGTTGGTCTCAACAATGAAGGAATACGTCTAGAGAGAGAAGAATAATTTCCAATCATTGCCTCCTCTCCAGTGCTAACTAATTCCCCTTTTTGTACCCATTCTTTCCCCACAGAAAATCCCTCAACCTTGTATTATCCTTTCTCTCTCTCACGTGCCTTTGTCTGCCACTCTCTTCTGCTATCGGTGCCATGTGGCTTGATTTCCCAACTGACTCATCCTTAGCCTCCATTTCCCCTGCCCATTCTACCCCTGCAGTGGCCCTTTTATTCTCACTCGTTACAATACCCTCCCCATCAACACTAACCTTGTCCTCAAGGTTAAAGTTAAAGTCAGGGTAGGCTTTGATAAACTCTTTAAGGTCTTCCCATGTGGCCTCTGTTTCAGATAACCCAGCCCAGTGAACTAAGACTTGGGAAATGTTGTTGGACCTGCGGATTATGTTGCGTTTCTGAAGGATAGCTTGAGGCATCAATAAGGGACCCTCGGGCAGTGTAGTCAATGGGAGTGGAACATAAACAATGTCATGGGGACCCTTACATTCTTTCAACTGAGATATGTGGAAGATGGGATGGATTTTAGCAGTTTCAGGCAATAAAAGTTTATAGGCCACTGAGCCAATGCGATCGATGATTGGAAATGGGCCAAAATATCTCAGTCCCAGTTTCTGGTTTTTTCGTAAGGTAATGGAGTGTTGTCTATAAGGTTGGAGTTTGACCAAAACCAATTCACCAACCTTCAGCTCTTTATGCATGCGTCTGTTATCAGCATATTTCTTCATTTTTTTCTGGGCTTTAAGAAGTTGCCTCTTCAATTGAGTCAAAGCCCTGTCCCGTTCCCCTAAGAGCTCCTGGACGGATGGAGGGTCTTTAGGATCCATGGAGTATTTAATTATGGTCGGGGGATCTCTTCCATACACCACCTTAAATGGTGTTGTTTGTAGACTGCTGTGGAATGCTGAGTTGTACCAGAACTCTGCCCATGGTAATAGTCTGGTCCATGTCTTAGGATTATCAAAAGCAAAGCACCTAAGATACATCTCTATACACTTATTCAGGGCTTCTGATTGTCCATCTGATTGCGGGTGGTAAGCCGTAGACATGTTCAATGTTGTGCCACTCAACTTGAAGAGGTGTTGCCAAAAGTGACTGATGAAGATCTTATCTCTGTCAGAAACTATAGTTCGAGGGAACCCGTGCAGTTTGACAACTATGTTAATGAACAATTCTGCCACAATCTTACTAGTATAATCTGCTTTCAAGGGAGCAAGGTGAGCATACTTAGATAACCGGTCAATGACAACCATGATGACGGTATACCCATTGGAAGGTGGAAGACCCATAATGAAGTCCATGGCTATATCCTCCCAAACTTGATGGGGAATGGGGAGTGGCTGAAGTAACCCTGCTGGAAGGGTGGTGGCAGATTTAGCTTGTTGACAGATAAGGCATTCTTGGACATAGTGAGTGATATCTTTGAGCATGCCAGACCAATAAAACTGGGAAGACAGCCGAGCCATGGTTCTAGTTATGCCAGCATGACCCCCTATTGTTGAACTATGGTATTCCTTGAGCAACAGTTGTATAATTTCCTCATCTCTAGGGATTACCACTTTGTGCTTCCAGTGTAAGAGTCCATCAGAGTAGGAGTAATGATTATTAGATGGTTTCCCTGCTACGCAAGCTTGGATAATAGCTTGGTAATGAGGATCGAGTTGTGTGGCCTTCTGAATTTTGGACATCAAGTTAGTCTCTCTATTGGACCATGCCATAAAAAAGGATCTGGACAAGGCATCTGTAGCCTGGTTATCCTTTCCTAGTTTGTATTCAATGGTGAAATCATATCCCAAAAATTTGTGGAGCCATGCTTGCTGCTCAGGGGTTTGGAGGGATTGATCCATTAGACTTTTGAGGCTTTTTTGATCAGTGTGAATGATGAACTTATGACCCAGTAAGTAATGTCTGAATTTTGCAATTACTTCAGTGATTGCATAAAATTCCCTGGTATAAGCAGATTTGTGTTGCATCCTAGAAGATAATTTCTTTGAAAAGAATGCTATAGGATGCTTGTCTTGGCTTAGAACTGCACCAATCCCCAAACCGGATGCATCAGTCTCCAAGACAAAGGTTTTGGTGAAATCTGGTAATGCTAATATAGGAGCAGTGGTTATGGCTTGTTTCAAGGCCTCAAAAGCGTGAGTTGCATGTGATGTCCATTGAAAGTTATCCTTTTTCAGGAGATTGGTCAAGGGGTGAGCTATTGCAGCATACCCTTTTATAAATCGTCTGTAATAACCTGTTAGACCAAGGAATCCTCTCAACTGTTTTGTGTTCTGAGGGCAGGGCCATTGTAAAACAGCTTGAACCTTGTTAGCATCCATTGCTACTCCATTCCCCGAGACAATGTGGCCTAAGTATTCCACTTGAGAAAGACCAAAAGAGCATTTGGATAATTTGGCATATAATGTGTGTTCTTTCAAGATGTGCAAAACTGTTTCCAAGTGACTAATATGTGCAGACCATGAAGGGCTATATATAAGTATGTCATCAAAGAAAACCAAGA